AATTAATACTAAAGCACTGTAACTTAATACAAGTCTTAACTGTATTTGTAATGAATACTAAAGCACTGTAACTTAATACAAGTCTTAACTGTATTTGTAATGAATACTAAAGTACTGTAACTTAATACATGTATTAACTGTATGTGTAATGAATACTAAAGTATTGTAACTTAATACAGGTATTAACTGTATGTGTAATGAATACTATAGCACTGTAACTTGATACAAGTCTTAACTGTATTTATAATTAATATGAAGCAATATTAGAACTTTCTGCTTTTTTAACTTGACAATAAGATAAGCTTAGTTAGACTATAGGATGTTTCATAAACCTATCTTTTTTTTTTAGATATAAAACGCCATTGATAAATAGAAAATAATATGAATATAACGAGTTTCTTTATTTGGACATTTACAAAAAGAGAAAACTACTTACGCCATTGGCAGAAAGTTGGGAATGGAAGCCAGGGCTAATATAATGTTACCCGATGCATACAATATAGAGATGTATAGAATCGTCCTATGGTAAAAGACAATTAAATGATCACATCAGAAAATCGAAAAAAAAATCATCATTTGCATTTTTCAAGCTTCTTATCAATACAATTAATAAACAGGTTATACGAATCAAAAAATTTTTAAACATTATTCTGTTTAAACCTTGTTTGTGTAAACAGTAAAGTAGAGGTTTTTATGACGTAATGTTGATGCCACTATTTTCTTCCAGCCAATATTAAAGTTGAAGGAACAAAAACAATTGTACGTTTCACAAAAACTTCATATATTTTGTGAAACGTACAATTGTTTTTTTGTTCTTTTATTCAGTTCTCCAATTATGGAGTTTCACCAAGTACCGACGGTTTCAAGTACCAATATTAAAACTTTTTTGTTCTTTTATTCAGTTCTCCAATTATGGAGTTTCACCAAGTACCGACGGTTTCTAGTACCAATATTAAAACTTGGTTTGTAGAATTATAATCCCGAAAAAACAACTTATATTTTACTTTCTTGAAAAGATATTAACATGAAATGAAAGCCAGTTAATGAGAAACGTGCAGTTCATAAGTAGAGAAGGACGGTTAACCAATCCTAGAAAAACTACAGAGTAGAAGTTCTCAACTAGTCCTTCTGCCGATGTATTGAGCTGAAATAATAAATATTACTCGGTACTTATAAACATCATTTTAGTTTCGGTTTCGCAAATCATCAAGCCCTCTATGAGATGAAATAGTAGGTGTTATCCATTAATTACACGAGCCATTTTCAATTGGCTAGGCGTGGTTTGGTGATTAGCATACTTGGACTGTGAATCCGGGAGTTGGTGGTTCCCGGCTTGTTGCTACAAGAGTGACAGTTACATCCTGCTATTCGATCCCACAAGAGTTAGAGTTGGTTGCTGTTGATTAGCTGCCTGCCTTTTAATTCGATCCCACAAGAGTTAGAGTTGGGTGCTGTTGATTAGCTGCCTGCCTTTTAATTCGATCCCACAAGAGTTAGAGTTGGGTGCTGTTGATTAGCTGCCTGTCTTTTAATTCGATCCCACAAGAGTTAGAGTTGGGTGCTGTTGATTAGCTGCCTGACTTTTAATTCGATCCCACAAGAGTTAGAGTTGGGTGCTGTTGATTAGCTGCCTGCCTTTTAATTCGATCCCACAAGAGTTAGAGTTGGTTGCTGTTGATTAGCTGCCTGCCTTTTAATCTTATTATTTCAAAATAAAGGATGTCTATGTGCAGATAAAATAAACATTATAAGATCTTTCTCTCGAATAATTATTTTCAGAAAGCTGCACTCAGTCACATTCTACTTTTATAGTTTCTCTATAACTTTTATAGTTTCTCTATACTTTTATAGTTTCTCTATACTTTTATAGTTTTTCTATACTTTTATAGTTTCTCTATACTTTATAGTTTCTCTATACTTTATATTTCTCTATACTTTTATAGTTTTTCTATACTTTATAGTTTTCTATACTTTATAGTTTCTCTATACTTTTATAGTTTTCTATACTATTATAGTTACTCTATACTTTATAGTTCTTCTATACTTTATAGTTTTCTATACTTTATAGTTTCTATACTTTATAGTTCTCTATACTTTATAGTTCTCTATACTTATAGTTCTCTATACTTTATAGTTCTCTATACTTTATAGTTCTCTATACTTTATAGTTCTCTATACTTTATAGTTTTCTATAATTTATAGTTTCTATACTTTATAGTTCTCTATACTTATAGTTCTCTATACTTTATATTTCTCTATAATTTATAGTTCTCTATACTTTATAGTTCTCTATACTTATAGTTCTCTATACTTTATATTTCTCTATAATTTATAGTTCTCTATACTTTATAGTTCTCTATACTTAT